TTGACCAATTTTAGTTTAGAAAAGGTTGGTATAAATAACTACTAAATGGGAAAATTCTCCTTGTTCATTGGTCCAACAGTGACACCTGGTGGTTAATTTATGCTTCCGTTTTAAAGAACAGTAGATTTCTTCTTTGTGTGTTCTGTGGTTACCTAGCAACACCCTGCGCGATGAGACGTTAGATTATGAAAAAACCCGGAAAAAATCTTTAAAATAGCGCCCTCGGAAAGCAGAATGAAGTATAAATATACGCAATTGTGATTTGTGATAAGAAATGTTATTTATTTAAGAAGCAGTAGAACGTCGTGGTTTAGATAAATGACACAACGTATTCTTTTTGTGTATAACTGAACATTGATATGTTGGTTTTATACTTCAGTTTTCACTGTCTCGATGGAAAGAAAGGTCGAAATTAAACCGCACCCGTTTGAAACTCCCTGCGTCTGGCTGTTCAATCCGAGTGGCCACTATAGTTGGCGTGCTACTGTTTCAGTTTTTGATTCGTTTCAATTTCAGTTTTGTTTTTGTTTAGTTCTTTTTGGATAGTTATTGTTGATTAAAATTACTTTATTTTGTTTTCTTTTTGTTTAGGAAAAGGGAGTTTCTATTGTCCAGCCGTGTGGCTTGTTTTAAACAGGGACCTTTGCTGTCCCTGAGTCCCAAGCTGTTTTTATTTAGATTGAGGAGACTGGAATGGGGAGTTTTCTCCTGTATTCACCAGGGATTTTTGTGTAAGTGTGTTTTTGTTGCGGAACACTTGGGTGCATTTAGTTATATTTGTGTTTTCTTTATTATTATTCCTCCCCTGAGCAGTGTAATTTTATCTAATTGGGTTTAATCTATTTTTCAACTTTAAGAATTCCAGGGCCAGCATAGACTCCCACTTTTAGTATGGTCACTTTGTGTCATAAAATAAATCGTGACTATTCTTGCTCATGAAACATTTGTGAATTTACTAAACTCTTTGTAATCTGCAGAAGTGTCTCTGTCATTTTTTTTCAAACTTATCTCTGTGATCTGGTAAAAAGAGGATCTAAGGCTGTATATCCATAGCAAAAGCTGTACCCAAGGTCACACTAATATTGTATTTGTTTTATTTAAATCAAGTGGAAGAGAAGATTTTAGTTTTTTCGATGACAACTGGAACTGTATGAGAAATCATTAGATGTAATAATCGTATTATCCAGAAGATGGCGGTAATGCCACCATATGAATACCGACAGTTAAAAAATCCCAAAAGAAGAAGAATCTGAAGGGAAGGAAGAAGAACGATAAAATGGCGCCCGGTCTGTTTTGTTGAATTTTCGAGATTTTTTCTGAATAAGTTTCTCAACAAGCAGTTAACTGCTGCTGAAGAAACTTTCACAGAGTTTAAAGAAATCATCGTCAAGTCGGAGGAAGAGATGGACGATCAGCGCAGACTGCTGGATTTCTCCCGGACTCCTCAGATTATCTTACATCGAATAGGTAGGAAACAGCAGCGTTTGGATGGAAGTTAATGTCTAAATGTATGAAGCTTTCTGTATGTCGATCACTTTAGTCACTGTCTTCTTCCCATATAAATGTGTTACTAGCAGGTAAATGAACGCAGACGTCACAATTATGCTCTGAAAATGGTTAATGTATGTAGAGGAAAAAATGGAGCCAGTGATCTCAGTTGTATGTGGTTGTATGACACAATATGGAAAAGTTCAAGGTTATGAATACAAGTTACTGTAGAGACAATGCAGCAGATGGCTAGTGAAATAAACAGCGGAAAATAACATAATAATTAGTAAAAAAATAAATAAATAAAAAAGTTATGTTAGAGCCATATGAATGAAATAAGTAATTATTGATATGACAGGAGCAGCGGCTTTGACACCTGGTGGTGGGCGTGTCGATGCGGGTGTGACGTCATCAAGTATGAATGAGAAGGTGACTGGCTGCTGCTGGCTGTGTGTGTATGAGGGACTGGGTGGTCAGTCCTCGCAAAGTTTGGAGCATGATAATCAAAATTAAATAAATCGATAATTGTGACTGAACAAAGAAGAGGTTAGGAGTTGACTGATACACGGACAAATGATTCCCGGAGTTAGCCCAGTGCGGCCCTCTACCACCATTAGTTTGCAGTGTTTTATAATAATAAAAGTGTTTATTATTATTAACTCTTTGGTGCAAAAAACTGATTGAAAATCGATTTATTTACTGCATGTTTATATCTGTTAAGGCTCAGATTGAACGATTGAACGTAAAAGAAAAAAAAATCCCCATGCCCCCTACATGGCTCCGTAATATGTGCTATTAAATAACATTAATGCCTACAATAAATGATTTCATGGTAATAAAAATTAGGACAAAATAACTAGTCATTTGAGAATTCTCCAAATATCAGCTGATTATCTTGACTGAACTGTTGATCTGCACTCTTAAATCTTCAGGTTTCTTTTTCAGGAGTGCACCAATTTATCAATTAGCCCATTAACTGGCCCCGATTTCCTTAAGTTTGGGAGATTGGTGATCAGCAGATACTTAAATGTGAAACCAGTTTTATCCACTGATCTTATCTGCTTCAGCAAAAGTCTACAAATCAACCACTTACTCTTCTGCTCTCCAGTGAGAGGATTGACTGATAGACCGGCCCACCAGGTCATGTCTGCACGTTCGCTGTTAACAGTAGTCACCTCACATTTGTCAACTGAGCGACTTTTCTGCTATATTTAGTGACATTTCAGACAGAAAGAATGGTATCAGTCAAAATAGGAATCGGCAGGTAAGACTTTTTAAAAATCTGTAATCAGCAATCAGCCAGAATACTGCAGTCGGTGCACCACTACTCTATCTGGTGATTCAAAAGAGTCAACAATTCTTCCTTTTTTCTGTTTTCTTATCCAGATTACCTGCTACATAACGTTAAGGAGGAACAAAGGAACCAGGAGAGGAGATCCACTTTGGACCAGGAGGAGTTAGAACCTCTGCAGGTGAAACAAGAACAGGAAGAACCAGAAGATCAGCAGATAAAAGAAGAGCAAGAGGATCTAGAACATCGGCAGATAAAAGTGGAAGAGAAAGAAGTTTACTGCAGTCAGGATGAAGAACAGATTGAGTTAAAACAGGAGACTGATACCTGCATGGTGGTTCCTGTTGATGAGCAATCATCCCACACTGAATCAGAACCAAACAGGAACCAAGTCATCTTCCAGGAAGCTGCTGAAATTGAGAACCAAAATCAGCAAAGAAGAAAACCTTTCTCATGTGTGACCTGTGGAAAAAGTTTTAGTCAAAAACCGAATTTAACTGAACACATGATGATTCACACAGGTGAAAAGCCGTTTTCATGTGTGACCTGTGGAAAAAGTTTTACTGGAAAACAGAGTTTAACTAAGCACATGATGATTCACACTGATGAAAAGCAGTTTTCATGTGTGACCTGTGGAAAAAGTTTTACTGGAAAACGGAGTTTAACTCTGCACATGATGATTCACACTGGTGAAAAGCCGTTTTCATGTGGGAGCTGTGGAGAAAGTTTTAGTCAAAAACAGAATTTAACTCAGCACATGATGATTCACACTGGTGAAAAGCCGTTTTCATGTGGGAACTGTGGAAAAAGTTTTCGTCCAAAACGGGATTTAACTCGGCACATGATGATTCACACTGGTGAAAAGCCATTTTCATGTGAGAGCTGTGGAAAAAGTTTTAGTCAAAAACCGGATTTAACTCTGCACATGAG